ACTAAGAGTAGCTCACTTAGGCACACTTTTCGATTTTCATGTAAATCCCTAGCTAGAGGAATGAACCTACTAGCTACCTGTAGGGATCTACTGCAGAAAACGTATCTTGACAGCCACAGGGTTAAGAAAGCAATGTGCTCTACGTCAGACACATTGTCCCCTTCAGCATGATAATGACTGATAAATTTAGAAAAACTGGCTAGCTTGACTTCGAAGTCAATTATGCTTGAGTGCTCTTCGTTGTCGGGTACATAAGTTTCTCCCACTGGCGACAGCCCAGTAATGGCCGCTATGTCGAAGAAGGTCGGGGTGATCATTCCACCTGGGAGATGGAAAGTATTGTAGGTACTGTTCCAGAAATAAAGGGACGCGAATAGCAGAGGGTGGCTGTAGGTGAAACCAGGCTTCGATAGCTTAATCAGGTTATAAATGCCTAATTCTTCCCATTGCTGGGATTTCTTGGCTTCTACTTTCGTGAACCAATTTTGATAAGCAATATCAGAAGTAGGGCAAGATCGAAATGGCTTAAAATTACTTTTTACATAATCCAAAACAAAGGGGTCCTTAGGAGGAATAGTTGGGGTTTCTATGGTATTTGAACTAGGAGATTCTACTGCCTTAGGGGCGTCCATTTTGTTAAATAAGGGTTTGAAGCTATAACAAACTGGGAAAATCGTCCTGGTGTCCTTTAATATTTCAAAAACCGTAAGAGGGCCATTTAAAGCTAACCTCTTACCAGCAACGTGGGTAGGAATGAGTACCTGTGACGCATACAGCATTTCTTTTTCTTTGGAAATCATCTGAGGGGCAAGAGCAGATTGGCCTTGGATGGTGATGATTTTACTTTCCATGGTAGCTCCTGTAGTTTTTCCTTTCTTCTTGGAGACTTTCTTGAGTTGGGATGAAGTAGAAGAAGACATTTTGAAAGATGTTGAAAGCTTAGATTGTTTTGTGAGAGAAGGAGGGTAAAAGATTCAGAGTGTGAAAGATTTAGAGTGTGAAAAGAAAAGAAGAAGATTAAGTTGATGTTTTATAATGGGGAAGTTTAAGCATCCACCGAATAGAAGTGTGATACGTGGAGATCATGGGTTGGTGTGATGAAGAGGTGGCGTGAAGTTAACATAGGTAATAGGCGTGATTTAGAGATAATCATTATTTATAACTGCACCACGCTGTGAAGTGACTCCGGGCGGTTAAGGAATCCAAAAGGTGCTATGATTGATGTGACTGGAGTCAAATGCATTAAATGTTACGATGATTCGAAAGTCCTATCAAAATCTTGTGTAGGTGTTTAAAATAGGTATTTCTCAGAGGAATCGAAATACATATTTTAAAGGGGCAATTTGTTGGCTGAAGATTTTGATAATGTTATTTAGAAGCCAAATGAGTTAAAAGTTTTGATCGAAATGGAATTAAACGTCATATTTCGAAGTAGCAGAAGCAGTGTTTCAAATAAGTGTGTCAAAGCTTGGAGCTTCGAACGACAATTATGGGAACATATCTAAAGGAGTCTCGAAACAACAGCGAGGCTGTGTCTGGGAAGAGCGTTCGAAACGGAGAAACACCAAAGCATTTAAAATTCAAATGGAAGCGGGACTTTCAAAGTTTGAAAGTTATGTGTTGGAGCATTTGGGGACACGTGGAAAGATGAAAGACGCATTGTCCTGCATGTTCGAAACGTGGCATAATCCTATAGCAAGACCGTTATGGTCGAATTAGTATAAATAGAAGTCTTAGTATTAGGATTTCGTGTGTCATATCTATTATACAAAATACTCAATAACATTCAAACTACCACATGGCAAGGGAAACGAATGCAAGAGAAATGTATGTATGATAGCACCATGTATTTCTGATTTAATGAAAACCTTTTACCATTTCCAGTACTTTCCTTTATTCCTTTTGTCAAACAACATTTATGAGTTTTCTTATTTACAGTCTTTTCACTTCGAAATCTCTTCTTCAAAGTTTTACATTTTAATGTTTTTCTTTATATTTCGAGCACTTTATATTTCAGAAAACTGTCATATTTTCCATGCCTTTACCTTCAAATCTTATCCTTCGAACGCATATGTTTACTTAAAATCATTTACAGATTTCTTGCATTAAACGCTTTCTTCACATTTCAAACTTTTACGTTCCAGAAATCCTTTATATTAATTGTTTTGTAAGTCGAAGCCATTCACTTCATTTTTATGCAGTTTTATATGTCTTTACAATTAGCATTACAATTAGCATTTATTCGTGTAACTTAGTTTTCACACACATTTTGATTACATCTTTAGACTCTTAGAGAGAGAGAGATCGAAACAAGCCAAACACCTATACAATATCAACCATGAATATCTGTTTGATTGTGAGAATAACCTCAATATCCAAGGAGTCCTAGGATCAATCTAGTCGATCCTGTGAGTTACCAGAGGAATTGAATAACAGTAAGAAAGATTATTCGATAGTTTGGAAGACTAGCGGTTGTTTACCAGAAATCACTGGAAACAGGGAGGCTTCTCCATTCCCCTAGGAATGGAAGCCTCCATAATTTCTTGTGACAATGGACCGCGGAGGTCATCTTCATCACTTATGTCTGGAGAGAAGGAGGGGACCAATTGTAGTGGTTATCGTTGTGATGGCCTTGGCTGCGGGGAAGATCCCTTGGCCGAGGGTGTCCTTCGTTTCCCCTATTTGTGTTGTTTTCAGGGGATCGTCGCTCCCTGGGCGATGGAGTGTGATCGCGCCTTCCCGTAGCTTTGGGGGTGCTCCTCTCCAACGCAGGACGTCAACCAGCTCGTCCTGAAGAAGGGTTGCGTGAGATATCCCGCCTACGTCTTCGCGGGGGAGATTGGGGGAAGTCTTAGTTGTGTCGGAGATGAGGAGTGTCGGGTCTTCTGTGCCTTTTGGGGGCCCGACAAGTTTGCTCGAGCACTCTCAGTCGTTCACCCTGTGAGAAGATCGGGTAATTGGTTTGGTTGATGGTCGCGAACAAAGCTCTGGTCGTGGCGTTTGTACCAGTTGGAACGAGGACCTCTTGGAATGCATTTGGTTCATAATTCTATAGAGGACAGTAGTCATCCTCGTGCGGTTGCGAGTGGAATGATGAAGAGGCGGTCAATCTGTCTCTGTAATTTTACTCGGGATCGGGAATGTCGATGTCGTTGTCGGCGTTATTGTTGCCAACACTGTTGTCGCTGACGTTGTTGTTGGGGTCGACGAGGTGAGTGTTTCGGTAATTGTCGACAGCTTGGTCGGTCATGACAATCGTACAGTTTTATGAAAGATTGCTTTGGTCTTGAGAGGAAGACGGGAAAGCTCTTTCCCACAGACGGCGCCACTGATCGTACCTGACCAAAAGAAATTGTCAAAATCTTCAAGCTTTGAGTCGAGCAATAATTAAATACGAAGTGGGTGGAATACCTACAAGACACTCTGATGCCAAAGTAAAATTTCAGAACGAGTGCTAGCAAGTACGAGAGTAAGTGAATATGAATATGAATACATGATCCTCTCAAGTGAAAGGATATTTATAGTCCCCAACGCTAGGCCAAGATCTCCAATGATGAGCCACAATGAGACCCAACAACGAAGACTATCAGAGCTTACGTGTGTATGGAGTCCAGCACGTGGCCTCCTCTCTGGTCAACCACCCCGAGAAAGCAGGAGTTGGACTTGTTATTTCTGAAAGACAAGATGATGATGACGATATGGATACATGGACAACGTCCTCCTAGCGAACACGTGGGGAAATGTCCAACGGTTCTTAGATTGGGCTGCATGTTTTTGGACCTTCGATAAAGACACTGAATTGAACCTCCCTAGCGGTGGGACAAGTGTCAGTTCAGTCCATAACAATTACATTATTTGGAGAGAGAGAGAGAGAGAGAGAGAGAGAGAGAGAGAGAGAGAGAGAGAGAGAGTTTGTTTTAAATAGAGTAAAGGGGAAGGAAACGAGAAATGAAGAGGGATTATGATATGAAAAGAGGGGAAGAAAGGGACATAAAGACAGGAGAGTAGACAAAAGGAGAAGGAGAAAAAGAGAATAAGGAAAAGAGAAAGGGAGAAAAAGATTGAGAAAATAAAAGTCGGTGAACAAGCAATATAAAGAAAGGGAGAGATAAAAAAAACATGGTCAAAGAATAGGGATGTTGAGAAAGGTGGTGGGAAAGAGAATTAAGGAGAGAGAAGGAGAGAGTCCCTCCACATTTCTCAATCTTGCTTTTTCCCTCTCTCCCTCGCCATGTCACTTGCCCTCATTCTTCCTCTATCTCTTTATATCTCTCTTTGTCCCTCTATTGCTCGCTCCCTTCCTCTCACCCTAATCAAATAAAAATTTTGTGGCGAATAAATTTAAAAATTAAATTTTGTGTAGGAATTAAAAACATTTAATCATAAATAAAAATTTATGTCTAGAAAAAAAGTCTGCATGAACTTCCATTAGTCAATTAGGGTTGACCTAACTACCCGACGAAAAGTAGATACGAAAAATTTTAGGACACAAAAATGCAGATTTTTATATTAAAACAAAAAAAAATCAAAATTGAATAGAGACCAAAAACATAAAAATATCTATAAAAATAGATATTGCAATAAAAATATACCACAAGAGTACCGACCTTAAGTAGAAAAATGCTAGTCAAATAGGTTTCATCTGCTTTTAATCAAGGACTATTTGATTATTTCTAGTAGAAGCTTCTTCCAAACGAAGTATAAAGAACGAAACAATTCCAAATCCAAAATGAAAAGTGAAATGCTGTTGAGTTGAGAGATTCGAGTTAAAATAAAATGTTCAGTTATTGTCGTTGAGAAATGTAAAAAGCTAAAAAATATTCAAAGTTTTGCAGTCCAATCAGAAGTGACCCTAACAAGCCTAGTTTGTTAACCATGCGAGGGCGAGAGGCTCAACTTGCAGCAATTTGTGATGAACACTGAAACTTATGATGACAGACAAAATCACAAAGGTTCCATGGTAAAATTGTTTTAACAGAGATAAAAGCACATACTGTTTTTCAAGCAAGATAGCGGTACATTTTTCTGTCGACTTTATCTCTCTCTAAGAATTCGCGCTCAATGAGGGATTCAATCCGCTTTTTAATAACAACGGGATTTGGATAAAATCGCGCCTGCAGCTGCTTTGTGACCTCGGCGATGACATTATTATGCTCTAGAATCCGCCTAGACTTCATAACCCTCACAATTGCTGCCTCAATCTGTGGCTTCCTATCTTCTTCCACTCTTTGCCGAGTTTCTATATTTTCTGGTTCTGTCTCCCTCTGTGCAACAACAGTCCCTATCTTAACCTTGAAGAGCTTGCTAGTGAATTTGTCGTTGAAAAAGAATGCATCATCCTCAGCTATGTCCTTGCTCATTGGCTCTTTCCGGAGAACATTTTTCCCTTTGACTAAGGCCAAAGACTGAAGGCACCTCTTCAAGTCTGACATGGGTATTGCTGTAGCCTGCTCTATCTCCTTACAAGTCAACCGATCGGCATTGTTGAAAAGCATGAGTACACACATTTGGTATGTGGAAACATTCAGCTCATGCTTTCGGCCATTACCAAATGTAGCCTTTAAATCAGCATTCCCCATATTAGCTTGCCAGGACAATCTCCTACCACTGTGAGCGCCGAGATAATAAGCACGAAACTTCTCACATACACCCAGGATTTCAGATGGAAGGTTACATTGAGGACTAGATTGAGTTGGCCACGAACCTGTTGTAAGCACCTGGACAGATAATGTAGGGCAATCTCCGAAGTCAGCACCATGGCTTGCAAGAAATCCTTGCATCATATCGTAAGAAGTCTTCATGTCTGTAAACATTCCCTCTAACTTAGAAGTGAATTGATATCCACATTCTGTTTTGAGCTTAACAATCAGACTTCTTTCGGCCTCATCGGATATAGTCTTCCCAGATAGAAGCCTTTTTGCTAAGTGTTGCTTATAATACTTCTCAAACACATCCTTCTCTTGCAGGTACCGGAAAAGCATCATGACTTTGTCTAGTACAATCTCCACATCCTCTTCACCAACCCCTTTCAACCCTCTACGAAGTTTGTCATCTACAAACAAAGAAATGAACTCTGGAGACCGGGCATTCAAATTGATGAAATATTCAAATGCAGAATTCAAGGCATTCTGAAATGTCTTGTCGTTGTTAAATGCCATTGTGATAACCTTGTCATATTTATCCTTTAAATCCAAAAGACGTTGCACAAAATCCACAGGATCTTTCAACCTTTCAGGATCCATAACTAGCTGCTTACCTGTATCCCGTATAAAAGAAGTCATGACATCTTTAACAGTTGTGAGCCCAGAAGGCACCCTGCGAAACAAGTTATACATTCTTCCCAAGTCCTCATATTTGTCATCCATGAGCATATTAACTAGGCCTGAGTTCTCCATACGAACAAGAGTTTGCATATGATTTTCAATCATCTCTTTCTCCACCACTTTAGTTATCTCTGACTCACTTCTAGGATCCAGGTAGTGAGATACCCTCTCCATTTCTTCATTTAAGCGCCTCTCAGCTTTTCTCAAATAATCCCCACAATCACATGATTCAATGAATTTCTGGGCCTCGCGACAATAAAAAGTTGCAGAAATTTCAAGAAAATGCTTCTCAAAATCCTTTTGGTAAACAGACAAACCCAAATCCATTAGCATATTTGTTAAGTTCCTCATCAAGCCTCTGTTAATTACTTCACCATTCCTTTCTCTAAGCACGAGGTCAAGAAGTGTATCTAGAAGCCTAGCCCGAGTTTTGCTGGAATGGATCACAACATCTCTCCAGAGATTCAAACCAAGCTCATGAACATGGGTTTTGTTTTTGCTTGGTACGTATGTTCGATCCATGTACATCAGTATGTCTCGGATCATTTGCAATGACTCATTATGGTCTATCCACTTCCTGTTGAGCACCTCCAAGAAAACTTCTCCTTGGGCAGATTCAATTGATTGGGAAATTTGTCTAAGATGAGAAGTCATGGTTGTCACAAGTCCGGAGTAGAGTTTATCTCCAAATTTATGAAGCACCATATTATAAGCATTCCTGAACGCACAAATTATGATTAGAAGTCTCAGATATATATATATGCTCACATATGAAGACTAATGGGGAGACCTTTATTAGTTACTGTATGACAATTAAGAAAACAAAACCACAGCCGTATTTTATAACATCAATAGCATAAAGCTATTGACTTTCATTCAAATTTAAATAAATTGCAAGTTTAATGGAGGTTTGTGGTAGGGTTCGAATAAATACATAAGACAGATGGAGGTTTGTGGTAGGGTTCAAATAAATACATAAGACAGATGGAGGTCTTAGAAACAAGAGCTTTTCCTTCTCACTAAATGGAAAACTAGCAACAGCCTACATTTTTTTACTGTACAAATATGATTAAGCAGAAGCAAGAGAGCTGGCCAAATAGCATCCAGAGAATGTTCCAATATGATATACTAATCTGAAGCGAATGGAAAAAAAAAAACCTATGCAAGTATGTCACATACAAGAATCTACCAATGCCTAGCTGGATGCAACTCGGAAACTTATTGAAACAGGATAAGAGTGAGTCGTAAAAGCACTAAAAACGGCTTTCTTTTAACAATTTTCTACTACAGTCACTGAAAACAAGTATATAAATAAATAAGTGAGAAGTAACAAAACATGGGGTTTTTATGATCTTTAGTGACAACAAACAACAACAACAACAACCACCAAACCTAATCTCACTAAGTGGTTGGCTACTTCAATCAAACGACGCCATAATGTTGTATCAAAAACCATACTTCTATATAACTCATTAATCTCGAGATTTTTCTTAATAGTTTCTCTTACAGTTTTACTAGGTTTTCCTCTACCTCTACAAGTTTGACTACCATCCATCATCTAATCTACTCTCCTTACTACAGAATTTGCAGGTTTTCTCTTCGTGTGCTCAAACCACCTTAGTCTAATTTTCACCATATTTTCTACTATAGATGCTACCCCAACCCTCTCTCTCTAATGTTGTCATTTTTAATCCTATTTCGTCTAGTCTTTTATACTTATTAGTGACATTGAGAATTAAAATCAAAAAGCATTTTACCAAATAAATAAAAACCATAATAATCCAAAGCAACTTAACATACTCAATCAGTTCGATGCAACTTGCAACATTTGAGTGGTTTTAACTTTTAACCCTCTGGATTTCAGGAGAAAGGTGCCCTGGGAATCTAAAACTCAACCGGAGATAACAAAAGTTTGGCTAAAGAAGATTGTTTCAGCCAAGGATTAAACTCAGGTACTCCCAATGATTTTGATCTTCACTAAAGCTCATTAACCACTTGAGTGATTGACCCCAACCACTTGCTACAAACTAGATAACACGTGCATGACCATGCCACAATCCGGTGCCATCCATAAAGAAGCTAATTCAATAACCTTCAAATCACATGGCAACAACTCTACCCATTGCACCAAACCCACCCTTCATGTTCAAGACCCAATACAAACACGCACACAAATAACGTACACCACCATTTGTTGCTAAACATCCAAAACCATCTTAATCCTCAAATTCCACAAGACTGAAATGTAAATTCCAAAACAAACACACTGAAAATCACACATCTTAAAATTCAACAACTTTTCAGAGAAAAAAACACACATCAAGAAACATAATAACGCATATCATCATTAAACTTATACAATCAAAAAACTAATTTGCAGAGACTATAATAATCCATATAAGCATGGAAAAGAAAATTGAAGGTGTTTGTTATGAACAAACCGGTAAAGCTCTTCAAAGCTAAGCCCACTAGCATTATGATTGTATATCTCATGAATAGCATGCTCAAGAATCTTCCATGTTTTTTCAGCGTAATTAGGATCCGCCACCATACGGTGCTTGTACGCCTCAATCGTGAACGGTCTCTTCTTCATCGCAACGGAAACTGCAGAAACTTCGAAGGATGAAGCTAAAGGAACGGTGAAGGTGAAGTGATTCAGAGGATTCGAAGAAGGGAGAGAAACCCTACAAGTGCGGTGAATGGGAATTGGGAAACTAGGGTTTCATTTCCGAAGTTGATTTTTTTTTTTTTTTGATTTTGGAGAAATGAAAAGCAAGGAAAAGAAGAAAAGAAAAGAAATTAAATTGATAATAAAAGTTGTATGAATGTGTATATGGTGGTGTGCTTGTAATGAAAGTATAGTGTGTAATGAATAATCACTTTCCTTAGGTTTTTACTTTGGAGTAGAATTTCTAATGTCCTAGAAACAACCCGGCACGATGACTCGAATAATGGGTCGAATCGAATTAGATGGTTCGAAAATAATCGGTTGAGTATGACGTGGGGAAAAGAAATGAACACAATAGAAAAAAGAGATTTTTTTTTTTAATAATCATGTATTAAAAAAAAATCACAAATAATCACGTTTCGGAAAAAATTACGCAAATAACTATATTTCAGATGACTCCCCAAAGGAGGAGTCATCTCACTTGGCGCCTACACCCATTATTTAAGGGGAGGCGCCATCTCACTTGGCGCCTAGGTGCTTAGGGCATGCCCTAAGTCAAGTGAGATGGCGCCTTAGTGCAATTCTAAGGCAAATTTCGCGTTTTTTTTTCAAGCCGGTGTGTTTCGTATTCGATACAGGATCAACAAAATTGACTTTTTATTTAAAAAAATGATTACACTCATATGTATTACATTAAAAAAAAACAGATAAAAAAAACAGATAAATCAGTGATCCCCCGGAACCCGGTAATGACCCCCAGTTCCGCATCCCCGTCCTCGCTTTTCCTGTGCTGGGTGTCATCGCGTTTCCTGCTGTGGCAGAGTCGATGGCCCAGCGAAGTCAATGCGGGAGCCAGGTAGTTGTGAGACCGGATTCTGAATCTTTTGGTATCCTGAGTTAATAATGTAAAAGGTGTAAGATTAAGTAAGATGAACAAAGCATTACCTGAAGTATAAAAAATGTATAACCAAAATAGAAACTTACAAATGCGGCAATGTTGTCCCTTGTGCCTCTGTGAAAATCGCCCATTGTGAGAAGAGTCATTGTTGAAAATGCCTGAGATTATGAAAGACTTAGAAAGTGTAAGAGATTATGAAAGACTTTGTAGCAGAGAGTGAGACGATTGTGGGTGTGAGAGAAGTATGTTATGCTCTGTATTTATAGACAAAAAAATTTCATAGAGTAAGTGAGGTGGTAGCTGGTGCATGCATGCATGATAAATGTCACTCTTGCAGAGTAGGCGCAGCTAGGTGGCAGCCTTGGAGAAGGCATCTCTGCATGCATGTAACACGATTGGACATTAAGGGAGACGCCATTGGACTTGGCGAAAGAGTACAAAAATGAAAGGTGTCGCCATCCCCATTGGTGAATAAGAGGTGTCATGGGTTGCAGAGTAGGCGCAGGCTAGGTGACAGCCTTGGGGATGTCATGCCTGAATGCATGTAACACTATTAGAGGTGATGGGAGGAGACTTACATGTTACAGTGTAGGTGCAGAGTAGGCGCAGGCTAGGTGGCAGCCTTGGGGGTTACATCTCTGCATGCATGTAACACGATTGGACATTAAGGGAGGCGCCATTGGACTTGGCGAAAGAGTATAAAATGAAAGGTATCACCATCCCCATTGGCGAATAAGAGGTGTCATGGGTTGTAGAGTAGGCGCAGGCTAGGTGACAGCCTTGGGGATGTCATGCCTAAATGCATGTAACACTATTGGAGGTGATGGAAGGAGACTTACATGTTACAGTGTAGGTGCAGAGTAGGCGCAGGCTAGGTGGCAGCCTTGGGGGTTACATCTCTGCATGCATGTAACACGATTGGACATTAAGGGAGGCGCCATTGGACTTGGCGAAAGAGTACAAAAATGAAAGGTGTCGCCATCCCCATTGGCGAATAAGAGGTGTCATGGGTTGCAGAGTAGGCGCAGGTTAGGTGACAGCCTTGGGGATGTCATGCCTGAATGCATGTAACACTATTGAAGGTGATGGAAGGAGACTTACATGTTACAGTGTAAGTGCGGAGTAGGCGCAGGCTAGGTGGCAGTCTTGGGGGTTACATATCGGCATGCATGTAACACGATTGGACATTAAGGGAGGCACCATTGGACTTGGCGAAAGAGTACAAAAATGAAAGGCGTCGCCATCCCCATTGGCGAATAAGAGGTGTCATGGGTTACAGAATAGGCGCAAGCTAGGTGACAGCCTTGGGGATGCCATGCCTGAATGCATGTAACACTATTGGAGGTGATGGGAGAAGACTTACATGTTACAGTGTAGGTGCAGAGTAGGCGCATGCTAGGTGGCAGCCTTGGGGGTTACATCCTTACTTAATTCAAATTCAGTATGACCTATTTAGTCTTACATTTATCAAAACACTTATTCACTTAATCTGTCAAACCTTCCAACCTTCAAACCTTCATACAATCAAACCTTCAAACAATCAAACATACAAACCTTCGAATAACTCATAAACTTCAAACATTCAAACCTTCAAACATTCCAACCTTCAAACCTTTATACAATCAAACCTTCAAACCTTCAAACAATCAAACATACAAACCTTCGAATAACTCATATACTTCAAACATTCCAACCTTCAAACCTTCAAACCTTCAAACAACCCTACGCAATGGCCTCTGCACCCCAATATGTCATCAATGCACATTTCAACGGTGAGACATACATTTGTCTCACCTCTGGGTTTTTGTTTAGAGACACAAACAACATCCAATTTCTTTTAAACGGGAAAGCCAATTTCTCGTACTTCAAAAAACGATTAGAGGCCAAACTTGGACGAGGCCCGGTGACACAGATATTTTATCAGAATCCAGTTTTTTTTGGAAACAACCAAATAATATTTTATAAGGTTGAGGTTCAAGATGTCGAGGATCTTCAGAATATGTTTTCCAGCCATGTGTATTCTGGGTACGACTCTATTGAGTTGTACATTATGCTGCGAGAGCCTCAGGTGACACAAGTGGTTGATCCTTTAGAGAACGAACAATCAGAGGTAGATGCAGTTGATGAAGAAGAAGAAGATAACGAGTTAGAGTTTGATGAAATGGTGAATGATGATTCCGACGATGATGGCATACCTAGTATTCCTGCAAACGAGATCTACACACCACCTCCGCACATGACAAACTTCAACATGGGCGGAGATGAACCGTCTACTGATTTATTTTTCAATCTGTATATGCAGTCGGATGAAAACTTAAAAGAGAGGGACAAGTTTCGTAACAGAGAGGAATGCATCAGAGCCATAAAAAAATTCCACATGTTCAACTCGGTCGATTTTAAGGTGGACCGTGTCAACCCAGAAAGGTACAAGATCAAGTGTGTCCACCCTGACTATATGTTCAAGCTCACTGCATCATACAGATTAAGAGGTGATTATTGGGTCATAGGTTCCATGACTACCCACACTTGTGTAAGTTCTACCCAATCATAGGACCACCGAAAACTTAATTACGATCTCATTTGTCAAGAAATCCTACCACTGGTCAACAACGACCCATCTTTGAAGGTGAAAACCATCATCTCCCACATCACCATGGTTTTTAACTATACTCTGTATTACCGTAAGTCGTGGTTAGCAAATACTAAGGCGATTGAAAAGGTGTACGGAAACTGGGAGGAGTCATACCAAGAACTTCCTCGCTACCTGAATGCACTCAAGACTTATTCTCTGGATACTGTTTACGTTCTGGAAACAGTGCCAGCATACGCCCAAGATGGTAGTCAACTAAACGGAAACGGAATATTCAGTCGAGTGTTTTGGGAATTTCAACCTTGCATCACAGGGTTTACATCATGCAAACCAATTATACAAATTGATGGGACTTGGTTGTATGGGAAATACAAAGGCACGCTACTGATGGCAGTTGCACAAGATGGCAACAACAAGATTTTCCCAATTGCCTTTGCCCTAGTCGAGGGGGAGACCGGTGGTGCTTGGAGCTTTTTTCTGAAAAACCTGCGAACACACGTGGCTCCTCAACCAGATCTCTGTTTGATCCCGGACAGACATGCCTCCATTGAAAGTGCCTACAATAATCCTGCAAACGGTTGGCATGACCCTCCTTCTACGCATGTCTATTGCGTTAGGCATATCGTCCAGAATTTCACGAGGGAGATCAAGGACAAAACACTAAGGAAAGCGGTTATGAATGCGGGATATGCATTGACACAACCCACGTTCAAATATTACCGCAACGAGATCCGTTTGTCAAATCCGAAAGCCGGTAGGTGGATCGATAATATTCCGGTGGAAAAATGGACTAGGTCATACGATAATGGCCAAAGATGGGGGCACATGACAACGAATCTTATTGAATCGATGAATGGGGTATTCAAAGGTATGCGAAACCTCCTGATCACTGCATTGGTAAAATCTACATATTTTAGGATGGCTTCATTGTTTACCAAAAGAGGTGAAATGTGGAATGCGGTGTTGCAATCTGGACAACTATGGAGTGAAAGCTGCATGAAGTACATTAAGGCAGAAAGTGTCAAAGCCAACACTCATATGGTTATACGGTTTGACCGATACAGCCACAACTTCATTGTGAAAGAAATAATCGACCACAACGAAGGCCTGCCAAGACAAGAATATAGGGTCATACTACCTTCTTGTTGGTGCGATTGTGGCAAGTTTCAAGCCTTTCGTATGCCTTGCTCTCATGTCATTGCCGCTTGTGCTTATACCCATCAAGACGCGCTACAACTTCTGTCACATATTTACAAATCTAAAACGTTGCTCAACGTTTACAACAACAACTTTCCTTTGGTAGAAAACCAGATTATTGGCCTGCATACGACGGCGAAATAGTGTGGAACAATGACCAAATGCGAAGGAACAAGAAGGGTCGTCCCAAAAGTAAGCGCATCACAACCGAAATGGACGAACTTGACAAGCTGGAAAGAA